GTAGGGGACAAAGGATGTTGAATATGGAGCTTCCAGGCATGAGGAAAAAAGGAAGACCTCAGAGAAGATTAATGGATGCAATGACGGAGGACATCCAGAGGATTGGTGAGATAGAGGAGGATGCCAGGGATAGGATGAGATGAAGGCAGATGGTTCATTATGGATACCCCTAAAGGAAACAGCAACAGAACTTGGTAAAGTGTATAAAATCATAAATCCAGTCGATTTATATTTGGCCAAAGATCACTAAGAATAAAAGGACTGGTTCCAGTAATACTAAAGCTTTCTCAGGTTATACAAGCTATACCTCTCCATATATACTGCCATTCAAAAGTTTGGACACACCTTGTTATTTAATGTTTTTTCTTTATTTTCATGACTATTTACATTGTAGATACTGTGACAGCCAGTGGTGTGGTCTCCCTTTTCCTTGTCACATTCTTTGAGCCAGGTTGTGACAATACATACTGAGGGCATCAAAACTATTGATGAACTCATGTGGAATATGTAGTAAACAAAGTATGAAATAACTCAAAACATGTTCTATATTTTAGACTCTTCAAAGTAGCCACTCTTTGCTTTGTTGGCAGCACTGCAAACCTTTGGCCATCTCGCAATGAGCTTCATGAGGTAGTCACCTGAAATGGTTTTGTCTTCACAGGTGTGCCTTTCCAGTTTTGAGACCACCAGTTGTGCCGTGCAGAAGTCAGGTTGGTACACAGCTGACAGCCCTATTAGTTAGAATTCATATTATGGCAAGAACCAATCAGCTAGGTAAAGAGAAACAACAGTCTATCATTACTTTAAGAACTTGCAAAAACTTGTGTCCCCAAGTGCAGTCGCAAAGCCATCAAGTGTTAGAGATTAGAGCCCAGATAAATGCCACATAGAGTCCAGTAGCAGACACGTCTCTAGATCAACTGTTCTGAGGAGACTGCATGAATGACATATAATGTAATTGCAAGGAGGTATTTTTGTAGTCTATATACTATATAGTGGAAAAGGGGTGGGATTAAATAAGCTTATGCTTCTTCCTGCTCCTTTTTGAACATGAACTTTATTTGGAGTTGTGGTTGCTCGTTTTCCTTTTGTTTTGCTTTGTTCATTTGTCTCTTTTAATTCTATTTTGTTGTACTTTTTCAACATGTTCAAAATAAAGATTCAATCAATCAATCAATCAATCAATCAGGCCTTTATGGTCAAATAGCTGATTAAAAAAAAACTACTACTACTACTACTAAGGAAAAGCAATAAGCAGAAGAGATTTGGTTGAGCCCTGAAACACAAGGAATGATGTGATGGTGTGGGGATGCTTTGCTGGTGACATTGTTGGGGATTTCTCCAAAACTGAAGGCACACTGAACCAGCATGGCTATCACAGCATCCTGCAGTGATATGCCATCCCATTGGGTTTGCATTTAGTTTTAGGACATTGACCTCCAGGCTGTGTAAGGGCTCTTTGACCAAGAAGGAACATGATGGAGCGCTGTGCCAGATGGCCTGGTCTCCGCAGTCACATGGCCTAAACCCAATGGAGATAGTTTGGGATGAGATGGAGCGCAGAGCGAAGGCAAAAGGGCCAACAAGTGCTCAGGATCTCTGGGAACACCTTCAAGGTTGTTGGAAAACCGTTTCAGGTGACAACCTCATGAAGCTCATCGAAAAAAATGCCAAGACTGTGCAGTAATCAGAGAAAAGGGTGGCTATTTTGAAGAATTTAAAATATAAAACATGTTTAGAGTTATTTCACATTTTTTTTCTTTACTACATAATTCTATGTGTTCATTCATAGTTTTGATGCCTTCAGTGAGAATCTACAAGGTAAACAGAAAAACCATTAAAGGGGGTGTGCCCAAACTTTTGACTGGTAGTGTAGCTATAGTCACTCTGAGCACAGTGTTTCTAAACAGCTGAATTCAGCTGAACCAATGTCTTTCTATCTTGGCTAAATCTAAAGTAAATCTTAAGCAGCCTGTGGAGAAGTGAATTTGACCTTTTAGCCTTTAAAGTAAGTCTCAGCTGTAATGAAAAGGGGAACACTGGATTTATTACACAATGTAACTGAACATAAAATCCAATTAACTGCACAGCTCTATATGTCCATTAGGTTACTCCTTCTGCACGGCCATTGCTACCTTTAAATGCTGAAATTTTGCTTTTTCAAAACTATCTCAAAGTTTTCCTGATGGGGTTCATAAGCAACAGGTGGTCCCAGTCCTGATCCTGTGGTTACTGAACTTGATATTCTTTAAAATTTGGGGTTTTCAGCACCACCTTCCACCTTTTCATTACAGCAACCATTTACCTTCCTAATTTTTCCCTGCATAAACTGCTCAGTCGTGAGCTGAGGCTTAAACATCTGTGGATGTGCGACGTCTGTGAATATTGTGAAGGACAGTCTTGTCAGAACAGGACAGATGAGTGAACATGGTTCTCCGTTCTTCAGTCTGATTATACTGTAGGCAGGCCTGGCCAACTGACAGGCAAAGTTAGAAGTCCATGTTAAAACAACAGGACACCTTCACCTTCTCCTACTCCACTTTAGCTTGTCTTCACATTGAGAAATTCTCCCAATTATGGAGGTTGTATCTCCCATTGTTCCCAAAAGATGTTATTTCACTCTAACAGCAGCTGTTAAAGGTGTAGGCTAATTGAGCTAAATGGAGAATGTGACCACTGGGCCCCACGAGGACCCTTTATTCTGGGCCACCTCTGTAAGGTGGGCCAGGAAAGGACAGCTACCATCCACTCTCAATTTCCCTGAGCCCACAATTATGTCATCCTGCACTAAGGACACTGTAATGTCCTTTACTCCGATGCAAAATGAAGTGAACACCAGTGTCTATTTAGCTTTAGAGATGCTTTGTGTAAGACATAAAATAGAGTTTCCTAAATACTGCATTCACCCATTCGGATGTCAGCAAATAAATGGCATTGTTGTTGTGAATAATAGACGATTGATTAAGCCGATGATCCTATTTATGTCTCCATTTAGACCAGTTGTGCTTCATCAAGGGCCCCATAGTGTGAAATAATGGTGTATGTCATTATTTCCCATGCTGGAAATAATGACATACGCCAAAAGAGCGCTAATCCTTCTCAATACAAGCTCCACTAGAAATTAGGCATTCTGTCCCTGCTGTGTGGTTTCAGTTGCTTAAAGGATGGGATCAGCATATCTTGACAGCCAAACACTTTGAATCACACTCAGGGGAAGGAGCTGTTTAGAAGTCAAAGGGGAAAAAGTACAGGCTGAAACTAAAAGAAAGCACAAGGACACCATGTCGTCCCAACAAATGGTACATGGTGTTTTGCTTGTTAAACAGTAATGTTAAAACTCACTCAGGTAAATTGGCAAGCTGGTCAAAAGTCAATTAATCTACAAAGCACATCATTTTCTCTCAACAGTATTGAGCTATGAGGACAGCCTCAAAGTCATCTAAACGAGTACTTACCAACATGCTACACTAAAAAAACTGAATAATTTGAATGAAAAACATTCATGTTTCTCCCAACTTGTTGATAATGCTGATTTTTTTTACAGATAGGAAAAGACCTGACACTGACAAAATCCCCATTTTATCTGTCCCCTGAGCCCCGCCACTTTAAGTTGTTACATGCTGAAAGGCTTGCTTTGCCTTTGCTGTCAGATCGTAGAAATGAGCAGGTGTTGATGGCCTTTCTCTGCTGTCATCTCTAATTCAGCACTGCTGGAATCTCTTCCAGTAAGAGGCATCAAACGCACCTCCAGCAAATCAAAGACCAGGTTAGACGACGCACAAATCATACTTTATAATGATGCAGCAACACAAAAGACACAAACACACTTGATTTACAGAGGAGGTAGTGCACATTAATCACTTACTCTTATTCCTGCATTCACTCATTATAAACAAACTGTGCACTTATTGACTGCAATCATGTTTTGCCTTTATTCGTGCCAATTTATTTTATTTAAAGTAACTCAGACTAAAGGAAAATTTGATTTTTATTTTACTTACAATGTCAGTTAATGACGCAAAAGTACACAATAGAAAGAAACTGGCTTCTGTTTTTTACCTTTTCTATAAGATAAGATTTTCTGAGAAATCATTTTTGGAGCCATGTATTTGTCATTTATGTTCACATTTTTAAAAACTCAAACAATTTTTAGATCGTTAAGGTTTGTGCTGCAGAACTCTTTGAAAATGTAAATATGATACTCGTTATAGATTTGGAAAAGAATATTTCTGTGTTAAAGCTGACTCAGATATAAAAGACTTTCTAAATGGCTCAAAACAACAACCACAAATGCAAAAATGTATGTACATCCCTCTCATCACAAGTGCAGTTTACCAGCCAAACATGAGGTCAGTCTGAAGGTCAACCACCTTTGGGACTATGACACCTGAGTTGGTTACACTAACTATAAACATAATTAGTATATAAACATCTAACATTCTGTCATTCTATGATAAAACCAGACTGGCTGATGTAGCTAAAGAATCTAGAAATCCTGACTGTCTCTTCCACTGAAATCGTTCAAGATCAGATTATCCAGATTAGTTTTATAATGCATTCTAATCAATGCATGCAAAAAGCTGTCAAGAAACACAGCTCATGCTGATATTTTATTTTGTATTTATTTAACATTAGTGTATTCCTTCTGTTGGCATATAGAGTCATCTGGCCATCCTTGATATTTGCTACGCAATGCACGAACCACATGCGCTCATCATGGCATGTCCACACAGGTATCTCTCTGACGAAAGCCTAACATCCGCAGCTACACAATGACAGGCTGCACCATAAAACATACAATCAGGTGTAATGCGAAGATGATTGGACCTGCGGTAGATGACACCTCTATTAATCTGAATGTTTCCTGCAAGCATCACATTGAATGTGACGGGCGAGCGGTGAAAACGTCACTTTACCTGATCGCCACCCTGTTACGTGTCAAAAGCACGTCCTCCGCAACAAGGTGATTTGAGAAACAGGAAATGTTGGTCTCCACTGACCTGGATCGTGCAGGTGTACTCCGAGTCGTCCAGCAGCCTCACGGTGCAATTGCATTCCCTGTCCAGACTCCTGATGCTGCTGCTCATTAGTCGGCTCAGCATCTTCTCGATCGTCTGCGAACGGGACCACAGAGAGGTGCACACAGCACATACATACAAGTTTATGTTCTGAGGCGTTAACGGCGTCCCTGGTCTTTGCTCCAACACCTGGTCAGCGGCAGCGCGTGTGCAGACAGGCGGCGGTGGTGCATCGTTTTATTAGTGTGTGAGCGCGGACTGAGCGGGGTGCTGCGTTTCTCCAGTCAATGAGAAGTGGGAACACTGCTGTAACTGCTGCTGCTGCTCCTCTCTGGTCCGGTTAAACTGTCACCCCCTCACCACACCTTCTCCCCCCGTCTCCGCCGTTGCCATGCCGCTCTCAATGGTGCTGGGCGGGCTGGTTGATGAATGGCGAATCTGTCAGCCAACAGAGCGGGAACTGATGCTGCCTTCGCAGAGTTAAAAACAGAAGTCGAAATTCCGATAGGCTGCCGCAAGTCGTGACTAAATCCAAATGGAATAATAACACAGCTTCACAAGTAAAACAACAGGCAGGTGCTTTGTCCTGTTTTAGAAGTTGCTCAGTTAATTCAAGGTGATAAACGAATAACTAACGCAATAAAAGAAGAAATGCGTCAGCTGAACATTCCCGAAACATACTTACGCTCAACGTCACACCTCACGTGCCAAATTTTCCAGTTAATTTATTATTGTGTGTGTTAAAATGGATATTTCCGACAGAACGTGAAGGCAACAGCATATTTTAGCATTCAATCCGCTTCACCTCCACAGGTTGGTTTCCAGTCTTTAATTATGTAGTCAGAGAGACGCATTGTTTATAGATGACGAAGCTGTTAAACTCAAATGCACTTTGTTTATCAGAAAGTAGAATATTTATGTATCTGTGCTTCTGCCAGGCTATTTTTAAATGACAAGTTATTTTTTTGTTTATTATTTCCCTGCTTTTATGCCCGAGTGCGACCCAACATAATTCATTGGCATGCCTTGCTCACGAGCAGCGGAGGACAGGCGGTATTTATTATCCTACAACTGATCAGCTTATTGTACAGAGAAAGATCTCGGCTGGATGAGTTTGGACCAAACAGAAAACTGAAAACTCAAATTTCTTCAACCACGTCTCTCTCTGGGGGTGCTTAATGGTAATTACAATGGAGCAATGGGGGAAACAGGGCCCTAGTCCTTTGTATTGTGGCTGGATACGGTTTCCAAAATACTCCCAGTGGTAGGAAACGAGTGAACTACCACGTATTTTAGACCTGTTTCATGTCGTACACATTCACGGCCGGAATTTTAAAAAATAATCACGAAGCCACATATTTTTCTTACATAGTCGAAAAGAAACTCATCTGCCGTGACATTGTTTCACAATGCCGTGACCCGGATTCGAACCGGGGTTGCTGCGGCCACAACGCAGAGTACTAACCACTATACGATCACGGCGAGCTACGATGAGCTGACGGGTTTAGAGAGGCAAAAACGAGGTGTCTTTAGTAAACCCTTCCCGGAATTTTGTCAAAGTGGTGCTATTGTTAGTGATTGAGGTAAGCTTCAGATATATGATTTAAATAAGCAATATACACACATACATTGCACAACTTTTAATAATTATCGGCAGCAAATGGAGTTAGTGTGACATTATAAGAGCATAACTTCGGTTATTGTCTGCCCGACATTACCACCTGGTGGATAAAACGACAAACTGCTACAGCCGCACCACGTGTGGTTTTGCTAAGCCTCCTCGCTCTGGTTGGCTGCCGTTGCTGCAGACGTAACACGTCTTCCTGTTTTGTAACACTCTGAATGTGATTGTTACCAAACACTGAATTTTTCTACAGCAGTTGATCTGAATCGCGCAAAGTTGAAAAGCCCCAAGAAGGTAAAGTTTTTCTTTTTTTGGCTTGAAATGTTTGAATGTTATTATATCCTGTAGTTATCATACCGTTGATTTATTGCATTGCATGTTAGTTGCAGTTTAGAGGTTTCTGCAGGTTCTGCCGCTGAAGTGTAAATTTAAGCGGATGCTCAGAACTTCCAAGGAATCATCATATTGTTTTGTGAAACGTAATGTTGTTTTGTTTGGTTTAAGATTTGTGCTGTATTTACCGTAGTTTTAAAGATCTTAACTCTTAGTCGTTTACATTTCTGAGGTTTCGTGTCTGTGTAAGGATGTGCTCTCCATTAACTGAAATTTATGAGGTGGAGAGGAGGAATGGATGTTAACCTACAGCATCAGTTCTTTTAAAATTTTAGTTTATGCGACGCGTTGACACAAGCTCACTGAAGATCATTAACTTGATGTTTTGGTGCCTTATGTTTGTGATTCACGTGTCCGCAGGTATGACTCACACGTGTATTCACTGGTTCAGCAAGGGACTCAGGTTGCATGACAACCCAGCTTTGATGGCTGCTCTCAAGGACTGTAAGCAGCTGTACCCTGTGTTCATACTGGACCCTTACCTCCACAACAACGCGTGTGTGGGTATCAACCGCTGGAGGTTCCTCATTGGAGCGCTGAAGGACCTTGACGGAAGCCTCAGGAAGCTCAACTCTAGGTAGAGACACAGTCGACGCTCAGCAACATTAAACACTTTTTAAAAAGTCAGACAGCTGCCATCAACCTATATTGTCCTGTTATGGTATGTTTAATCTACTTAGGCTGTTTGTTGTGAGAGGGAAGCCAGAAGATGTGCTCCCCAAGTTATTCACCAAGTGGAAAGTAACCAGGCTGACCTATGAGTATGACACAGAGCCCTACAGCCTGCAGCGCGACAGCAAAGTGACGTCACTGGCCAAAGAACGTGGAGTTGAAGTCATCTACAAAGTCTCACACACTCTTTATAATATTGAAAGGTAAAAATCTTGCTGAGCATTTTCAGACAG